TGTACACCACAGTAAACATCTTTCGTTAGGTCGGAGTTGGCCACACAGACGGATATCACAATGAAACCATAAAAATGAAAAAAACACAAATTTCAACAAACCATAAGGACTGAAAATGTATTTACTATAAACTTTTTATGGATCATATCAATTTATTTGATCCACATATCCATGGGCTAAATCAGCCCATTGAACAAGATTCCCMCTAACCAATCCAATTTAAATTTTGAAAATTTTAATCTGATCTAATCAAATTACAGTTAAATATCCAATTTTGGTCAGTCAGCTATGGTCGATTGGTTAACTTTCTATACACTTCTAAAACTTGCAATGATTGCTCAATAACACTTTTAACGTCTATATAACTAGTAATGGGATACGGTGATGGATCCATGACCAATGAAGGAAGCTACACTCGTACCACAAATGGAGGAAAATACGAGTCGGTCGAACCATGAATGGAAAACTACTGGTTGGATGATCAATGACTATGTTTATGATTAGGAAATATCTGGGAAGCGAATAATGGATAATCGTCTGAATAAAATACTGGATACAAGGATGGTGCAAATAATCTGCATCGTGACTAATCTWGAAAGTATTCTATATAAAGGACCTTTTTTCACATCAATAAGGTCAAATTATGCCTATGGCATGTAGCTTAGTTTGCAAGGGCCACCAAAATACAAGAGAGGTCATGGGTTCGATCCTGGGTCCTTAACTCGCCTAAGTAGGGTGTTCATCGGTCGAAATCCAATTAATTTAGGTAGATGCGATCCAATCATTCTTTGGATGTTGAATTTTCTCATCTGATCCAATTTGATTAACATTGGACATCTGATCCGATACAAATACGATGAATGATTGGGTTCCATGCATTAGATGTTACTATTGGTTATCTACTTGATCATATTCTATTCATCCAATCTTCTGATCTAATACTCAACYAATGAATCCACCATTTCAACCAATTATTCATATATTTTCTTAAGTTATTTGAAAAACATATATAAATATCAACTAAAAAACAATATCGTAAAATATTAATAATTATATATAGTTATTAATTATATTAGTTGAATGATAATTGGATGGTCACTGGATTGGATCGGTTCCGTCTTATTGGATGATAGATTATCATCCAAGAACCGACCGATCAAACTTGGATGTTAAAATTTTGGATCCGACCCGATCCAGTTACAATTGGATATCTAATTATGGTCAGTCATTTTTAATTGAATTGGTCGGTTTAAATTGTATAAAATGATTTTTTTCACACCCCTAAGCCTAAGCCATTAAGTGAACAAAAAAATGCCATATCATATTGGTGCTGTTGTAGGTCGGTTTATGTGGAGTCGGTTGATGTTRTCTGTAATCAACTTCTTACTCAAATAAGCTTCAAAGTTTTTATGACTTCGTTTGTTCTACGTTCTAAATTCAATGCTCGGGCAACTGCATATATGACTAAAATTTGTTCCTTAACTGGAAATGGTGCATGATCGTTGTATATTGATGACACTTAGACTTGAAACTTGATGATTTATAAATTATCAAATGATGTAAATTTGTTAAACATATTTGTTTTTTGAGGCAAGGGAGGGATACAAATTCATTTTTATATTTTCATTGCTTATAAAATATATACGAACCACAAAGGTGGTGTCTAATTGGTTTGAGTTTAGGCTCCATAATAAAAATCACCTTATGATCATTGAGATTCGAATGTGGTGACTTCGTGCTATCCGTAGAAAAAATTGTCGTTCTAAGATTAGTCGACTCACATAGCAGGTTAGATATCTAGGTTAATAAAAAAAATATGTTTAGGGTTTAACTTATTTCATTTAGAAACTAAAATCATAACATCATAACCACAAGGGTGGTGTCTGATTAGTTTGAACTTGG